GAAATTAGAGATGAACAGGGAGAAATCATTGCAGACATCTCAGAAATCCAGATCAGTAGGGACTATTTTGAAAATTCATACTCCAATAAACTAGAAAATCTAGAAGTGGATACATTTCTATATAAATACAATATCCCAAAACCAAGTCAAGAGGACACAGAAAACCTAAATAGATCAATAACTTATAATGAGATACAAGCAGTACTAAAAATCCCTCCAACAAAGAAAAGCCAAGACCAGAATGGATTCTCAGCTGAATTCCACCAAAACTTTAAAGAAGAACTAATGATAGTACTCCTCAAATTATTCAATGAACTAGAAAGGAATGGAACACAGCCGGATTCATTCTATGAAATCAGTATCACATTCATATCAAAACCAGATAAGGACACATCAAGGAAAGAAAACTACAGACCAATATTCCTGATGAATTCAAATGAAAAAAATACTAATTAAATATTAGCAAATCATATTCAACCACAGATCAAGAAGATTGTACATCTTGATCAAGCTGGTTTTATTCTAGAGATGCAGATGCAAGGATTGTTTAATATAGGCAAATCAATAAATGTAATTCATCACATAAACAAAATTAAGGACAAAAATCAATTTGTCATTTCAACATATACCTATGACAAAATTCAGCACCCATTCATGATAAAAACACTGAAGAAACTAGGGATAGAAGGAACCTAACTCAACATCAGTAAAGTCTGAAAAACCCAAACCAAACTTCATAGTAAGTAGGAAAAAACTAAAATCTGGGACAAGATCAGGATGTCCACTCCTACCATTTCCTTTTACTATAGTGCTACAAATTCTAACCAGAGCAATTAGCCAAGAGAAGGAAAGAAAAGGGATTCAAGTAGGAAAGGAAGAAGCCCAATTATCACTGTTTGCAGATGATGTGATCCTATTTATAGAAGATTCAAACAACTCCACCAAAAGAGAGATGGAGCTAATAAACAAATTTGGCAAAGGAGCAGCTTACAAAATCGACATACAAAAACCAAGCTTTCCTATATACCGACAGTGAAGTCTGCTGAGGAAAAAATCAAGAGAACAATTCCATTCACAAAAGCCTTAAAAAACGTTTAAAAAAAACCATAAAAACTAGGGATAAATCTAACCAAGGAGACAAAACACCTCCTTAATGAAAACTATTAAGGTCAGAGCTGACCATTGAAAAAAGAAATTGAAGACCTCAGAAAATGGAAGCACTACTCATATTCATGGATAGGCAGAATTAATATTGTTAAAATGGCCACACAACCAAAAGCAAGATAGAGGTTCAATGCAATTCCCATCAAAATACCAATAATATTCTTCACAAAACTAGAAGAAAAAAAAAACAGTCCTAAAATTCATTTGGAAGAATAAAAGACCCAGAAGCACCAAATACAATTCTAAGCCAAAAAAGCAATACTGGAGACAGACATTATGATACCTGACTTCAAATTATACTACAGAGCTTCAGTGCCAAAAACATGCTTTGGAGACAAGACATTTTAACAAATGGTGTTGGGAAACTGGTTATCCATATGTAGAAAAATGAAACTAAGCAGTTATACCCCGCACAAAAATCAACTCAAAATGGATCACACACTTAGGAATTAGATCAGAAACTATTCAACTCCTAGAAGAAATCTTAGGGTCAATATTCCAGCATTTAGGCACAGGCAACAATCCTCTCCATAGGATCCCCTACAGCTCAGGAGCTAATGCCAGGAGTTAATAAATGGAGTGGCATCAAGTTAAAAAGCTTCTGCACAGCAAAGAAAACAATTAGGAATGCAAAGAGAGAATCTACAGAGTGGGAGAAAATACTTATAGCTACTCTTCTGACAGAGGATTAATATCTAGAATATACAAAGAACTCAAAAATCTTCACACCAAAAGGTCACATAACCCAATTAATAAATGAACAAATGAACTAAACAGACACTTCTCAAAAGAAGAAATACAAATGGCCAACAAATACACAAAAAATATTCAACATCATTAATAATTAGGGCAATGCAAGTCAAAACTACACTGATATTTTATCTCACACCAGTCAGAATGGCAGTCATCAAGAACACAAATAATAATAAATGCTGGACAGGATGTGGAGAAAAGGGAACACTTTTACACTGTTGGTGGGAATGTAAATTAGTAAAACCTCTATGGAAATCAGTATGGAGTTTCCTCAAAATTCTAGGCATGGATCCACCCTACGACCCAGCTGTCCCACTCCTTGGTATTTATCCTGAAGAATCAAAGCATCATGTATAGTGACCCATGCCTAGTCATGTTTATAGCAGCACAATTCACAAGAGCCCAACTATGGAACCAACCTAGGTGTCCATCATTGTCTGAATGGATAAAGAAAATGTGATGTATATGCACACAATGGAGTTTTATTCAGACATAAAGAAAAATAACACCATGGCACTTGTAGGAAAATGGAAGGGACTAGAGACCATCATCTTAAGTGAAATAAGTCAAACTCAGAAGGTTAAGGGTGGAATATTTTCTCTCATATGCACAAGCTAGAGAGAAAGAAGGAAAAGAAAGTCAGGGGTGGATCTCCTAAAAATCAAAGGGAGATCAGTAGAGGGAATGGACCGAAGGATAGATCAGAAGTAGAGAAGGAGGGGCAAAGTGCTAGGGAGTGATATTGGCCTAATTAATTATATTGTTGAATTGTGTGCATGTGTGATTATGTAACAACAAATCCTATCTGTATGTATAACTATAATGCACCAATAAAATGACGTGGGGAGAAAACGACATAAGAGCCACAGGATCTAAGAGATTAAAGTGTTCCCAATATAACTAAAAGGTTAACAATAAATCAAGATGGGTGCAGTGGCGCGCAGGAGTAATCTCAGTGGCTCGGGAGGCTGAGGCAGGAGGATTGCAAGTTCAAAGCCAGCCTCAGCAACTTAGGGAGGCACTTAGCAACTCAGTGAGACCCTGTCTCTAAATAAAATATTTTAAAAAGAGCTGGGATGTGGCTCAGTGGTTAAGTGCCCCTGGGTTCAATCCCTGGTACTCTCATACACACACACACAAAAAAAATAATAATAATAAAATAAGTGTTTAAAAGGTCATTTACAAATATTTTAACAAAAATAGCATAACTCCGAAAAGATAGTAAGTGGGTGGATCATTTTCCTAGGGATACTGTATCAAACCCTATAAACTGGATGGTTCCAAAGAACATAAATTTGTTCTCTTGAAGGTTTAGAGGCCAGAAGTCTGCCATGGAGGGTTGGCAGGGCCACACTGTCCGAAGGCTGTATGGAGAATCTTCCGTGGCTCTCCAGCTTCCAGTGGCTCCTGACTTTCCTTGCTTATGTCAGCATCACCCAGGCCTGAGCCTCCATCTTTAGGTGGGCTTCTCCCCTTAGTCCCTCTCTGTGTCTTACATGTATCTCCTCCTTTCTCTACAAAACCAACCACTGAATTTAGGGCCCACCCTAAACCCAGGATTATCTCATCATGGGGTTCTTTGCTCAATTACATCTGCAAAGACCTTCTTTCCAAATAGGGCCCTCTTCACAGGTACCAGGGGTTAGGAGTGAACATATCTTTTTGGGGGGACACTAGTCAATGCACTGCCGTAAGTAACCGTGTTTTCTCCTAGGAAGATGGGGTTCAGGATGGGAAGAAGACAAACTTCTCCCTGTAGATTCCTTTGAACTTGACTGCCTGTACCCAGGGCAGCAGGCTGGTGATCAGTGGCCAGGATTGAGGGACCAGATCTGAAAAGAAGGAAGAAGTGACACAGCTGCTTTGGGCAACTTACAGTGAAAGATAATTAATGAGGGATGAAAACCTGCCAAGTGGCAGAAGGCCCAGCTGGGGCCGGTCCCCCAAAGAGTGCAGTGGAGGATGTGGGATGAGAAGTGATTGCCCCTCTGGTTCCATCTGTTGAGGAGCCCAGGGTGCCTGTGGGGCTTCCTTCCTCCCCCGCTTCCATACAAACACCCCTGGTGCCTACTGGACAGGGGTCTCCTCCTTGCCTGAAGACATCCCAGTCCCTCTGTGCATATGCGTCATCATCCTCTGGGTACACATTGGGAACCCCTGACAGGTGAGAAGCCTTTCATGGGGGAAGGCTTGCTCCCAGCTATTCTTAGCAATTCTTGCTACAGGAGGATGACTTTGATGAGGAAGCTGCCAACAGCAAGTTTGAAATACAATTCTGTTTACTGGCAACAGGAAGGAGAGCCTCCAGTTCCCCTTTTAGCAAACTGCAATGAGCTCCTGTTTTGTGCCAGAATGGTGGGGTGTTTGGTTGGGGGATGAAGCAAAAGAACTAAAGTGGGTAACTTTGGTCTCACCTCCCAGAGGCCACTGTCAACCCCCTGGTTATATAGCTTTTGTTCAGCGAGCCCTCTGAAGTGAGGTCTTTCCAAACAAGATGGAAAGGGCAGCAATTTGGACTCTAAGATCCAGATTCTATCCTGAGAATCTGCTGCACATCTACAGAATGGGATCCTAAAGCCACCTTTGTTTTTTGCTTCCGGGAAGAGTGCACCTTATGTTTTGTCACACAGCAACCCAGGGCCTGAGCTTCCCTTTCCCCTTTGCATTCTCCTGCCTGGCACATAGTAGGCATCTACTGGACCTTGTCCTGTTGAGTTCTTGGACATGGTGCATAAAAGGAATCTGTGCAAAATGAATTGCAAAATGAATTGTTTGAAATACTGGGCTTGTGCCTACAATGGAATTTCCAATGTATCTATATGCCATCTTGGAAGATTTAAACACCGAATAGACTCCTTTGAAATGCAATAGGCTGGAAATCAAAAGGAAGCAGTCTCTTCAAGGTACAGCTATGGTGAAGTACAAGTGTAAGGTGCATAAGGGACAGAGGCCAGAAAGGGATCCAGGCAGAATTTAGGATGTCAAGTTACAGTCCTTGCAAAGAATTCAGTGGGCAGTGATGAGTGTGCAGTCAGATTGATTAGGAAGGGTCACCGGTCACAGGAAGGAGGAGGGCCCAGGGAGGTTGTTCAACATCGTTCGAGGGAGCGGAGAAGGCATGGTTGACAGGTGGCCAGGCAGACCCCGGAAACACTAGTGAGGTGGGCCAACATCTCTGGCAGGGCGCAGGGTGAGAGGCGGAGACGGGACAACTCTCCCAGCTTTCAGCCCAATTAGGATTTGGGATTGTCTTTTACTCCCTATGAGCGTAAAGTGACGCTGTTTGGGGAGGGCGAGGCCGAAACCTGATCCTCCAGTCTCCGGGCTCCGTTAATGTTTAATCAGATAGGATCGTCCGATGGGGCTCCGGTGGCGTGATCTCCTGGACCGGGGCGTCGAGCACCCACACCCCAGAAAGTTTCCTCCCCGACGTCGAGGCACCCGTGGCTTCAGGCAGTCTCAACGCCACTCCCCTCTGGGTCCAAGCCTGTGGGAGGGATCCCTGCAGCCAGACTCCGACTGCCCGGGCGGGAAGTGACAGCCGCGAGCCCCAGCACTCTTGGCGCGCTTGGCCCAGCGAGGTCCTGAGCTCCCGCTCACCCACGTCCTTCCTCCTTCCAAAAGAGAATGCGGTCTCTTGGGTCCCCAGCAGTTGGAACGCAAATCGCCCTGATGGGCACCGGCAGCTCTACGCGGCCATGGTGGCCACTGCCATCGCTGCTGCTGCTGCTACTGTTCCTGAGCCCCGCGAACGCCCATGCCCAGGAGGACGAGGACGGCGACTATGAGGAGCTGGTACTCGCCTTTCCCTCCGAGGAGGACGGCCCAGGCGAATCGTCCCCGCACATGTCCACTGCCACCTTCCATCGCTGCGCCAAGGTGCGGGCGCTGGGGTAGGAGGCGGTGGCGAACTTGCCACAGGGACCTGTAGGGATGCCGCTTCTTCTCCTGCCCAGTTTCCCAGTGTAAGGGAGGAGCTGGAGTGAAGGTCCAGAGAGTCTTCTGCTGGTCCTGTGATGGCTTGGCGCCGTCTGGGGAGGACAGGCTAGGTAGTTGGCCAAAGAGCACTGGCAGCGCTTGGAAATGTGCTCTGGAGCGTGCGGCTGCACGATGCGGTGGAAGGGTAGCTTGGATGGGGGGGGGGGGGACTGTCAGCCACGAGGTCGGCGAGCAGAGTACTGTCCAGATCGCCTGCTGGGATTCTAGAGGCTCCACTGACCATGCAGCTCCAAAGGGTGAAGGAGTCAACACCCCAGTGCGCTTAGAATGGCCCAGGGTGCAGAGGAAGCAGGCTTATTCCCGTGCGTTCTGACTTGGTTCTGGGAGTCTCCCCGGAGGAGAGTGTACAGGGTATTGGGGAGAGGGCATCATTTATGTAGGGGTGGAGGATGGGGGCGGGAGGCAAATCCTTAGTGCCTTAGAACTCCAACTCAGGCACTGCATTTTTTTTTTCCAGCTGAATAAAAGAATAAACTGAAGGGGAACGTGTTGAATTATTCTCGAGGTTGATGGGATCTTTGGTTAAAGGAAGGGCTTTCAGTACTGGGGACCTCGGGTGGCTGGTGCGCCAGGGACCCTGGAGCTGAGTCCTGCAGGCAGATGCGGGTCTCCTAGGGTGGGCGTGGCAGGTTCCTGAACCTTTGCTTTGCCCTTGGGCCTGTTCTGTAGGAAGCTGCTGCCTAGGGTGGGGCTGTTGATTCCCTTTAGTTATAACCTTTCAAGGGTTCGGCTGAAATAATGTTACCTGAGCTTTGAATCAGACATGGGGTTATCCTTGGCTGCTTCTCTCTAGCTGTATGGAGCTTGGCAAACTGCTTAAACTTGAGCCTCTATTAAAGGGGAAATGGCAATCCTTTCTGAAAGGGATGAAGGGAAAGGAATTCTGGTGATCCCTGAATGACTCCTGGATGTAAGAACCAGAAGCAGCTACTTGTTGCAGGTAGTTATGTCCCTGGTTGCAGTGTGACCTGGCCACACCCTCCATGCACAGCTGGGTTGGTAGGTGGTGGGCAAATAAGGATTCTGTGCTCAAAGCTGCCTGGCCTGCTCTTCTGTGTGCTGGCATAGTGTCTGGCCTTCATTCAGTTCCCAGCACCCTCTTCTTTTCCCCTGATCCTTTCACCTGTAGAGAATATCCTGTGGCTGTGGTCTCTCCTACCCCCAAATAACTGTTCCAGCAGGAGTGAGTACCCCATCCTGGGAGGTCAGTGAGAGGAGGCTGGACAACCACCTGGCCACATGCTTGAGGCTGTTTCTTCCCTGGGGGAAGTTTGGAAAAGCTACTTTGTGAAGTTCACTTTTTCTTCCATGCAATGAATATTTCATGGGAATGGAATTTAAAATGAAAATGTTTTTGGCAAACAAAAGGATTTTAGGCCTATCCTTTATTGTCACCCTGAGAAACCGAGGCCCAGAATGGAGGTGCACCAACTCCCTGGTGCGTTGGAATGAGGCTTCAGAGAAATCTTGTTGAACTGTGCAGAGCGTCCTCCTGATTCACAACATTTTCATTTAGTGGCGAGCACCTTACATGGGTCTCTGACCATAAACAGGAGCTCAACAATGAAGGTGGCAGGAGAATTTTACTCTAAGGGAGGGAGCCGCATGAACAAGGTCCAGATCTGGGAAAAGCAGAGGTGGAGCTTAAGGAAGCAGTGACATCTCCATCTCCCGAAGTGTAAAGAGTTCTGAAAACAATAGGTATTTTTTTTTTAGATTTAGTTTTATATATTTAGAATTTTTAATTGGCATAGTTACTATACATATTCATAGGGATACAATGTGATATGTGGGTACTAGTAGGTAACGTGCAATGATCAAACATTTAGCATTTATTTATGGTGAAAAAATTCCAAATCCTCTCTTCTAGCTATTTTGAGATATGCCATGTATTATTGTTATCTAGAGTCACACAGCTTCAAAACTTTTTAAAAGTCCCCTTGGATGTCCCATCTGCTTTATTTTCAGAAAAGTGTTCCCCACGGGGTCTCGAGACTGGAGCATCCTGAGCCGTCTTTCCTCCTGTCCGTCCTGCTCTTTGCTTCCTCCCCAGGTTTTACTTCCAAAGCTGGTTGATCTTAGCTGTGACATTGTCATTCATCTCCTGCCACCTCACTTTTAAAAAATCTTTCCTTTGACAGACTTTCTGGGTTCTTTTCTGCCTTTCATCTCTGAAAGCAAAAGGCATTTTGTAATCTATTCAGTGGTACATTCTCGCCTGAACTGACACGAGATTGTTCATGATCTTCGTTGATTCCTCTTGTGCACAGACGCATACATTTGGCTGTATAGAAGAAGGTGCAAACTCCTTGGAGCTGGCTCCCTGGTTATTACTGACTTTTAAATCCAAATGAATTCTGATTCTTGAGACCCTTCTGGTCCTAAAACTTTGAATGAAGGGCTGTGGACTCTCCTCTGCTGGAGTGCATAGACAGAGATGCATGTGGGCTGCAGAGGTATGTTGAGGCAGAGTGGCCAAGGAGGACATGGAGACTGAACTTTATTCATCAGTCTGTGGTGAACCATGGAAGCTTCTTGAGCAGGTGTGTCTGTTTGAGACCAGTTGTAGCTGGCAAGAGCAAGACCAAACAAATCTCTGACAGTCTGCAGCCTTCTGCCTGCATTATACAAACTTCTCTCTTGGCCTTGACAGCAGGCCTGTTCCATAGGTATTGTGGTTCTTCTAATACAGAGGAGACATCAGAGGCTCAGAAAGGTTGAGTGACTTGCTCATGGCCACACAGCCAGTAAACCTTGGAGAGATGGGATTCAGGTCCACATTTTCTGGCTCCAAAGCCCATGAATGTTCTCTTTTGCACTGCCTCTGAAGGGGAGTCATGGAGGTACTAGGATGGGGAGGAAGTGATTTTTTTCTGACTGGAGTACTAGGGAGGGAGTGTGACTGGAAAGGCTTCTGGGAATGGCTGGCCTTTGGGCAGGGCTACCAGGAATGACCAGGCCTGGGTTGTCCCTAGAGAGGTTACAGAAGAGACTTTGTTGTTGAGTGTACCCCACAGTTCCCCTTTGTGCCTGACAAACTCTGAAGTGTATGAACTATGATAATGCTAAGAGTTGGCTTGTATGTGGGTTTTGCTTTTCAGTCCTAATTTGGTAAATTCTGTTTATAGTTTACTACACTCCATTGTGATTCTTTTATCATAATCCTAATTTGTAAACAGAGGGGGATAAGGTTAGGGCAGGGCTTGTTGGTATTTTTTTTTTAACTGGTGCTTTATTGATGAATGGAATTATGGCATTTGCTAGTAAATGGACGGAACTGGAGAACGTCATGCTAAATGAAATAAGCCAGACTCAGAAAATCAAGGGTTGAATGAAACCTTTTTGGCTAGAGCAAAATGAGGTGGGGGAAAGGGAGTGGGGCTCTGATAGCATAAAGATAAAGGGTAGCTCAGTGGAGCAGAAGGAGATTGTTGGGATTTTAATGTTATTAATGTTACCCTTCCTTGCTTGGGGCCAGGATGCCTGGAGGTTGCCGGGCACCTATGTGGTGGTGCTGGGGGAGAGAAGCCACCGATGGCAGACAGAACGTGTGGCCCGACGTCTGCAGGCCCAGGCAGCCCGCCGGGGTTACCTCACTAAGGTCCTGCATCTCTTCCACGACCTCTTTCCCGGCTTCCTGGTGAAGATGAGCAGTGACCTGCTGGACCTGGTGAGTCACCCTCTCTGGGTATGGCATTTTCTGATGGGGCTGGATGCCACTTACATGTAGAACATCGACATTAGTGTGCCCATTGCTAAAAATCAGGGGGAGACACAAGTAATTACTGAGTATATACCAAGTGGTATCAAGCCCCATGATTGCTAGCTCAGTGGGTAGATGCCTTAGAAGCCTGGCCATCCCCAGTCCATCTGAATTTGAAATGAGGATTCCAAGGTTCAGAAAGGACCATGCAGGCAGCTAGGAGTTGGCTTCTATGTGGGTTAGCCGGTGTCTAACCTGGCAATCTACTGGCTGGTTGCCTTTTGTGCTAAAGTATCTGCTACTTGTCCCCTATGGGGACAAGGCCCTGGGACACTTGATGGAGTCTCAGCCATTTCATAAAAGCATATAAAAGGGTTCTGGGATTGTGGCTCAGAGCTCTTTCCTGGCATGTGTGAGGCCCTGGGTTCGATCCTCAGCACCACAGATAAATAAATAAAGTAAAAACTCCATTGGCAACTAAGAAATATTTTTTAAAAAAATCATAAAAGGACATGGGGACAGGTTTGATCAGGTGGTGCTGGCAAAATGGCTCTGAAGCAGAGTCCCCTGACCTGTGTCTTCTGCAGGCCCTGAGGTTGCCCCATGTTGAGTACATCGAGGAAGACTCCTCTGTGTTTGCCCAGAGCATCCCATGGAACCTGGAGCGGATCATCCCTGCACACTACCAGGCCACGGAACAAAGAGCCCCCCGTAAGACCCCCGTTGTGCCTGGCCCTCCGCACCCTGGCTGAATGCCCGTGCTCTGTTGTGGTCTCTCTTCTTCTCAGAGGCTTGGGACTCAGCATACTCTGCTGACTCTTCTTCTCTGGTTCCAACAGCTCCCTCTTGCTCTCTCTTCCTCCACCCAGAATGCAGGTGTTTTTCCTTAAGTGATGCTATCTCGCCTTCTAGAAGCTCTTGTTCATCTCCTCTCCAAGGCTACACTTGTCTTGGGAAAGGCTGCATCTAACCATGACTCATGGTGTCTGAATGCCCAGCCCTGCAGACAGGATCAGACCTCTGAGTGGGACAGACATGGCCCCGTCTGGACTGCCCCCACCTAGCTCTCGGTCTCCTTGCCTGCCCATCCTGCCTTCAGCTCCATTAGACCGTGTGGGTCTCCCTGTGTGGGCCGTGCCATGTCCCCTCCAGGTCTTGCTGCCCATACTTCCTTCTGCCTGGTGCAGCCTGTCTATGAAGGGCGAGGAGGAGAGGCCAAGAAGAATGGCCTGGGTCGTGGCAGGGCCCCATGGGGGACACTGAGTTGGGGGAGGCTGTAAACACACCTGCTTAGGGGAGAAGATCAGTTCTAGTTGGACCATGTTGAGTTTGAGATACCCACAGCCTGAGGTTGAGCTCTATGGAGAGTCGGTGCAACACCGAGTGAGGCCTCAGATCTCGGGGTGAGCACAGCCTCCACCCCTTCCCTGAAAATTGCAGGTCTTTGGGAGCTGCTTCCCTCTCTGAGCCTCTTTGTTCCTCATCTGTAAAATGAGCAGAGTAACCTGTCCTTGTCCTCCTCTCAGGGTTGTTGTGAGGCTCCAGTGAGGTGAAGCATGTACCAATGCTTTGGGAACTGAAAGGTGCAGTGGCTTCTGAGTTGCTGTCCTTGTGACAGGTCAGGGGTTGTGCACAAGGTAGAGGGTGAGGAGATGGAGCACCTGACACAGGTGGCCGCTGCAGAGGTGGGGGCTTGGTCTGGGCAGACTGTAGCAGAAAGTTCCAGGTTGGTTTTGCAGGAGGAGCTGCCTGCTACTGAGGTGCACCTCTCCAGGTGAGTCCTAAGGCCCCCGGGGATCCCAGGTCCACACCCAAGGGCCAGAGGGCAGCGAGGCCCCAGCCAAGCAGGAGTGAGGGAAGGCTGTGCTCCTGAATAAGTTTCTAAGCATGCTGTCACCAAGTACCATAAACCAGAGGCATAGATGAGAGAGGCTTCTTCTGTACAGTCTCCTTCTGCCATAGGGTACGGTGGACAGTAGCATAGAGGATGGAGAGATGATAGGCTGGGGCAATCCAGCTCTGGCAGCATGATGTTGTACGGTGGGAAGACAGAGGACAGGGGGCTGACCTTGACTGAAATTAGCATGGGATTTCAGAGAAGCCACTGAGATGCTCTGTCGCAGACTGAATGATACACACACTCAGAGCCTGTGAATGTGACCTTATTTGGAATAAAGGTCTAGGTAGATGTAATTAAGAATATTGAGATGAGATCATCCTGGACTGTCCAGCAATTTCTCAATCCAGTGCCTTTCCTTGTAAAAGAGGCAGAAGGACAGTTGAGACACACAGAAGAGGAGGCCATATGGAGTGATGGCAGAGACTGGAGGGATTTGACCACAAGCCAGGGAATGTTAGTAGCCACCAGGAAGTGGAAGAGGCTCCCTATTGCCTTTGCAGAGAGTATGGCCTGGTCAACCCCTTGGTCTTGAACTTCTGGCCTCTGTATCTGTGACAGAATGTCTATTGTAAGCCACTGGGTTTGTGGTAATTTGTTACAGCAGCTCTACGTAACTCATACACATTTTAGTCCTGTCATGAGATGTGACATTATGTCACATTGAAAATGAAGCATTTTCAGTGGGTCACCATGGCAGCCTTAGAAGAAGGTTGTAACAGAGAATGCACAGACCTGGTGCCAAGAGGCCCAGACTCATGCAGCCTCTCCCAACCTCCGTTTCCTCAGTGACATGAGCTGGCTGGCTCAGGTGGACCTGTTTTTCTTCTTGAACTCTTCAACTGGATCAGTGAGCTTTCAAAGGCTATAAGTGTGGGCTTGGTGTATTTACACTATCATATTTATTGTTTTTTGAATGCCCCTTTTGTTAGTGTTATGGAGTCAGAGACCTTGGTTCACTTCCTGTCTCTGTCTTCCAGCTACTTGGCCTTGGACAGTGCTATGCCTTTCTGTGCCTTACTGCATTCGTCTTATAAAATAAAGACATAACAGCACATAGCCTGAATTTTTGTAAGGTTAAACGAATTTATGTATTCACGGTGCTTACAGCAAGGGCCTGGGATGTGGTAGACAGCTTGTGTGCAGTAGTTATAACACTGACCTCATGGGTATCCTCTCCCACAAACGCTGCCTTGGAAAGATGGAGGTGGCCTAGTGGAGGTTTATCTCTTGGACACCAGCATCCAGAGCAGCCACCGGGAAATCGAGGGCAGGGTCACTGTCACCGACTTTGAGAATGTACCTGAGGAGGATGGGACACGCTTCCACAGACAGGTGAGCATGACCCTCAGGTGGGAAGGCTGCCCCCACCTCTCACTCCCCTCCTGGAGCTGGTGGGGACCACCCCCTCCCTGGAGCGTTGTGGCTGCATGACCCAGCAGCCGTGTCCCTTCTTTACTGTTGGGTGTGGGGAGGGGGTGTCAGTCTATCCACCCACCACGGATGTGTCATGGGCTGGGTGGGCTTTCTCACGTGGTCCTTGTGTTGGTTGAGCAGGCTAGCAAGTGCGACAGCCACGGCACTCACCTGGCAGGGGTGGTCAGCGGCCGGGATGCTGGTGTGGCCAAGGGTGCCAACCTGCGCAGCCTGCGCGTGCTCAACTGCCAGGGGAGGGGCACTGTCAGCAGCACCCTCATAGGTGAGTGGCAGCCCTTGACAGCACTGGTCTCTCTCCATCTGGACCTGGTGTGGGAGGGGGTGGGTTAAGCCAGAGAGCACTAATTCCCCTGACTGTGAAGGCTGAGGCCACCCCTGCCATGGAGGTCCAGCGTGTTAGAGAGGGCAGGGCCCTGAGGCCACAAGTGCAAATGGAGACACTGAGGTCAAGTGGGTGGAGGCTCTGCCAAGCGGGTGCTCTTCCCACGATTCCTCACTGTCCGCCTTTCCAACTCCTGTGAAATGGAGTTGTCACTTTATCTCGGATTCAGATGAACCCTGAGGTCATCGAAACAAGCTTTCTCCATCTTCCGCTTGCTTACCTCACTGGCTTCCATGTCTGACTCGGCCCAGCAGGTCACCCTGGCCAGGCAGACTTGGTGGAGGAAATGACAGGGCCTTTTCCAGACTCTGGCGGCTTACTTCATCCAGTCCACCTGGTGGCATCTGGGACATCCAGCCGAGAGCTAACCTTCTGGGGTCCTGGGTGGCTCTGGCTCACCATCATCCTGTTGAGCCCACATACTGAGCAAAGGACTTCATATAGCAGGCCTTGAGACTGGCATGTGACACCTGTTAAACCATTTTGTCCAACCCGCCAGAGATGGGTGCCTTGCTTGGGTGACACAGCTAGAGTCTGTGATCTCACTGGAGAAAGGGCTGGCTCTGGGCATTGGCTTGACCCCCACTGGCTCTCAGCTGGCAGAGGCTGCATGGCTCAGGAGCCTGCCTGTGCCCATGAGCTCTGCCCTCCTTCCTCCAGAGACCTCACTCAGTCTTTTCTGACCGTCTTCTAACAAATTGGAGGGGGCCTTCCCATAGGCTGGTGGTCATCTGCTCAAAGTAAACAAATGAATGGCTTAGATGTCAGTCACATTAAAAAAAAACTGCCTTCACAGCAGCATTTAGACTGGGAGTGTGACCAAACTCAGGGCACAAAGGTGACACAAAATGAAACATCATCCTGTGCCCCTGTGGGAAGGGGGTGCAGGGGGCAAGCACATCTCCCCAGGAGGTGACTGGCCTTTGTTCTCTCAGGCTTGGAGTTTATTCGGAAAAGCCAGCTGGCCCAGCCCGTGGGGCCGCTGGTGGTGCTGCTGCCCCTAGTGGGTGGCTACAGCCGGGTCCTCAATGCTGCCTGCCGGCACCTGGCAAGGACTGGAGCGGTGCTGGTGGCCGCTGCGGGCAACTTCCGGGATGATGCCTGCCTTTACTCCCCAGCCTCAGCTCCAGAGGTAGGTGCCAATGCGGCTGCCCCCCAGAAAGGAGGGGGAGCAGGCAGGCCCCCGGGTTTCATGTGGGGTGTTGCTGGAGGCTGAGCTGCTGCAGCTTTGGAGGAAGTTGTCAGCCCCTGAGTGCAGAAGCCAGGGAGGGGGCTGCGCCTCTGCTCTGCCAGAGTCTGGAAGGAGCAGCACCCCAACTCTCCCTCCCCATGTAGCCACACCCCATGGCCTGTCCTGGCCATTTTCTTCCTGAAAGTTTTCTGAATGCCCTGCCCCTTTCCTCCTCCCAAGGACCTGGGGACCTCATCTGGGCTCCTTTCTTCTTCCCTAGGGTGGAGAGAATGGCATCCTCAGCCTTCTCCCACCTTCTCCTACTTCCCCTCCCAGGCTACCCTATGAGGGCCCTGGGGCTCCACCTAAAGCACAAGCCAGCTCCCCCTTTCTCCTGTCCAGCACCCCCACTGGCCATGCCCCGCCAAAGCCCCTGCCCCTAGCCTTCATGACTGACCGCCTTTGCAAGTCTAATAAGATTGGGAGCCATAGAAGGTCTGAAGCCCCTCATGTGAGGAACCTCCTGAGCCCTGCTATGTGTCTGTTGCTATTGCAGGCCTGTTCCAGGCAGGGGGGCATGGGAACACCTCTTCTATGGAGGAGCTGACAGTGTTGGGGGGCACCTTGTCCTTCATCTGAATAGCACTTGCAGGACACCCACCATGAATCAGGCTGTCTGGGTGCTGGTGGTACCAAAGGGAAGGACTCTTGTTCCGCTTGGGGGGCTTCATGGTCTGGCGTGGGGCCTGGCGGGTGGTGCAGGTACAGTCCTGGTAGTATGACCCTGGCCTTCTCTAGCCCAGCAGAGCCTTCCCCAGGTGCTGAATTCAAAATTGCCTAAAACCCAGCACAGTGTCTCCGCCTTGCTGCGCTGGATTTCCCCATGAGGTTTATATACCTGCCAAAGGGCATGGGGTGGTTTCCTGTTTACCGTCGGTCTCCCCACCAGGATGAAAGTTCCACAGGGGCATCAGGAATGATGCTGGGCACATGGTTGACTCTTTTCTCTTTTACCCACCTCCTCATCTTTCCAGGTCATCACAGTTGGGGCCACCAATGCCCAGGACCAGCCAATGACCCTGGGGACTTTGGGGACCAACTTTGGCCGCTGTGTGGACCTCTTTGCCCCAGGAGAGGACATTATTGGTGCCTCCAGTGACTGTAGCACTTGCTTCGTGTCACAGAGTGGGACATCACAGGCTGCTGCCCATGTGGCTGGTGAGTCACCCCCTGTCATCCTGGCCACCATGATGCTAACAGCCCCTTGGGCAGGCAGGCAGGCTCTATGCTAGGACCTCTGAGTGCCAGGCTCTGTGATGGAGGACCCAACATGAGGAAGACCTGAGGGGCCTGTGTTAGTTGGCTTCCGATGACTGTGACAAAACACTTGGGTGATCAACTTAAAGGAGGAAAGTTCTGTTTCAACTCATGGTTTCAGTCCAGAGTCTTGGCCTCATTTTCTCTGGGTCTTTGGTGAGGCAGAACATCCTGGTGGAGAGTGTGTGGTGGAACAAGTTGCTCAGGGTGACTGGAAAGAGACAAGAAGAGGCCAGGGTCCTAATATCCCCTTCAAGGTCATGCCCCCAGTGACTTATTTCCACTAGGTCCCCTCTCCTATAGGTTCCACCACCTTCCAACAAACAGCATGTTTGTTGTGACAAACATCTTTAAATAAATCAACAAACAAAAAACTTTAGAGGAGGAAAGATTTGTTTTTGGTACATGGTTTCAGAGATTTGAGTCCATGGTTGGCTGGCTCAACTGTCCTGGGCCTGAGGTGAGGCAGAGCAAAGCTCCCCAGCTCATGGCCACCAGGAAGCAAAGACAGAAGGGGCTGGGGACAAGATGCACCCTTCCAGGGCATGCTCCCAGTGACTGATTTTCTCCAACCATGCCCTACTGCTTACAATTTCTAACACCTCCCAACAGTCCCTTCAGCTACCAATGGATTAATCCACTGATGAGATTAGAGCCCTCTCCACAGCCCGTGCCTCTGAACACTGCTGCATTGGGAGCCAAGCCTTCAATACATGAGCCTTTGGGGGACATTCTAGATCCAAACCATAACAACTAGACACGGTAGTGCACAGTCTGAAATCCCAGTTACTCAGGAGACTGAGGCTGGAGCATCTCACGTTCTAGGCCAGCCTGGGCAACTTAGTGAGACCTTATTCCAAAATTAAAAATTTAAAAGAGGGCCAGGAATGTACCTTAATGGCAGAGTACTTGCTAGTATGTGCCAAGCCTTGGGTTTGATCCCTAGTTCTACCCACCACCTCCCCCCMAAAAAAAAAGAAGAAAGAAAGAAAGAAAAGATCCAAACTGTAACAGTGCCCTCAAGAACACTCAGTCTAATAGGTTAGGCAGATGATAAATAAAAGGAACACAAAGTAGTCAGAGCTCTGTCAGAGGGAGCCCAGAGGAGGCACCTGTACAGCCTGAGGGGTCAGGGAAGGCTTCTTGGAGAAGGGACATTTGATTTATGGTTTTGTGGCTGCACAGAAGTTCTCCTGAACATCAATCACTGAGACGCAGTGGCAGACGAGCAGATCATCTGCCTGATTTCACTAAGCCGGGGATTGCAGGTGGCTTAACTTCAGGAAGAACAGCTTGGTTGTTTTTGTGTCTGTCTGTGCATGTGCACCCTAGCAGGAGTGCCTGGCTGGGAAGGAAGGCCAGACCACGATATCTCCTCCTCCGCACCCCCCCCCCACCAGGCATTGTGGCCATGATGCTGACAGCTGAGCCCGAGCTGACCCTGGCCGAGCTGAGGCAGAGACTGATCCACTTCTCTGCTAAAGATGTCATCAACAAGGCCTGGTTCCCTGAGGACCAGCGGGTACTGACTCCTAACCTGGTGGCTGCACTGCCCCCCAGCACCAATTCAGCAGGTAAGCAATATGGCAGGATGGGCAGAGTCTGGCCTGGGACTGAGAGGCCTGTGTGACCTTGACAAGTCTCCCCTCTGCTTGGTGTCTGCAAGGAGGATTGTGCCACCTCAAGAGGGGACTGGACTTAGATAAGGCTTTGCAACATTTTTATAGGGGGTTTTATGGGAGAAGTTCAATGTGTTCTTTCGGCCCACCACCCACCTCCTGTGAACTAAAGCTTTTTCTAGCACCCCCCTGGTGGATGCTCCTCCATCCCTGCACCACTCCCTCACCCTGGGTCTTGTTGCAGGAGGACAGCTGTACTGCAGGACGGTGTGGTCAGCACACTCAGGGCCCACACGGACAGCCACAGCCATGGCCCACTGTGCCCCAGGCGAGGAGCTGTTGGGCTGCTCCAGTTTCTCCAGCAGCGGGAAGCGGCGGGGCGAGCACATCGAGGTGACCTTACCCCTCTGTGTGTGGGAAGCAGGTTCTCACTTCTAGGACCTGATCAACCCCCAGCCCTAGTGACTGGACCCCAGTCTCCACCTGCCAGTTGAAAGTGTTGACCAGTGCAGGGGTGGGGGGCTGCTGGTGCACATACCTAGAGGGCTTCCTGGAAGAGTGCAGGACATCCTGGGGCCGCCTGGTGCAGGGGAGGACAGTGACTTCCCTGGACCTAGCATCCCCAGGGCCCTTTTACTCAGAGGGTCCCTGGTTCTGGGAGTTGAGGAATCTCCATCCTGCAAACGGATCGGTGCTGGTGCTTCAGGGGTGACACATGAACTCTTACCACTGTGTTTGGAGGGCAGGGCTGTGCCTGGCTGGGAAGGTGGGGGCCACTAGGCACTTCTGGCCTAGGAGATTGGTTGGCTGTGAGTGCTGGCTTAGGGGCCAGGTGGGTTAAGGGAGAGGGGTAGGTCCTTGTGTCAGTGTCTTAGATTTCATTTTGAGGTCACGGTCAGTTTCTGGAAGAACTTTATAAAACACACAGCTGCCCATTGGCAGAAGAGTCTGCCTCTGGCAGGAGTGAGCTCCTTGTCCCCAGAGGAGTGGGAACCAGAATGTGTTGAGGATTCCAAGGGCTTGGACTGGGTCGATGCCTTCTGGCCCCAGCATCTGGTGTTTCCCAGGCTATTTCTAAAGTGGTTTCCTCTTTCTGTCTTTGGTCCTCAGACCCGAGGGAGCCGGCATGTCTGTCTGGCCCTTAATGCTTTTGGAGGTGAGGGTGTCTACGCCGTTGCCAGGTGCTGCCTGCTACCCCAGTCCAACTGCAGTGTCCACACAGCTCCTCCAGCCAGGGCGGATAAGGAGACCCGTGTCCACTGCCACCAAGAGGGCCAAGTCCTCACAGGTAGGAGGCGGGGCCCTGCCTTGGGGTGAGGAGGAGTCCCTGTCTCCTGACATGGCCAGCCTCTGCATGGTCCTCAGGAGTACGATTGGTCAGACCTCTGGAGCCTGAGTGCTACTTGCAAACTCCCCTTCTGCCACCTTCACAGTGTGACCCTGGCAGGCAACTCTCTCTGTTTCAGCTTTCCTCTGCATAAGAGGGTAGCACCTACCTCCATGGATGTGATGAGAAGGGTGGCATTTGGAACAGGGGCCTGCAGCTCTGTGTGCCCTTCACCAAGGCAGCCCAGGGCAGCAGCTGCAGGGTAGAGCAGGCTCCGGGGCCTGGAATGAACCTGAGAATTCCACTCTCCTGCTCAATAGTTGGGCAAGTAAATCAACAGCTCTGTGCTTTACTTTCCTCATTAGTAAATTGGAGAGGATGGGTGCTATGCACTGAGCCTGATGCTGGGATTGTATACATTCTAGCTGCTGTTATTATTGTTTATTTTCACATTTTTAATTGGTGCCTTATAGTTGTACATAATGATGGGATTTGTTGCCACACATTCCCACATGCACACAATATAACAATGTAATCTGGCCAATATCACTCCCCAGCAGTTTCCTCTGCCTCCCGACTCTCATCCTTTGGCCCTTTATTGACCTCTCTTTGATTTTTAGGAGATCCACCCCTGACTTTCTTTTCCTTCTTCCTCTCTAGCTTCCACAAATGGGAGAAAACATTCCACCCTTAACCTTCTGAGTTTGACTTATTTCACTTAAGATGATGGTCTCTAGTCCCTTCCATTTTTCCTACAAGTGCCACGGTGTCATTTTTATTTATGGCTGAATAAAACTCCGTTGTGTGCATATACATCACATTTTCTTTATCCATTCAGACAATGATGGACACCTAGGCTAGTTCCATAGTTGGGCTCTTGCGAATTGTGCTGCTATAAACATGACTAGGCATGGGTCACTATACATGATGGCTTTGATTCTTCAGGATAAATACCAAGGAGTGGGACAGCTGGGTCGTAGGGTGGTTCCATGCCTAGAATTTTGAGGAAACTCCATACTGATTTCCATAGAGGTTGTACTAATTTACAGTCCCACCAACAGTGTAAAAGTGTTACCTTTTCTTCACATCCTGTCCAGCATTTATTATTATTTGTGTTCTTGATGACTGCCATTCTGACTGGTGTGAGATAAAATCTCAAGGTAGTTTTGATTTTCATTGCCCTAATTATTAATGATGTAGAACATTTTTTTGTGTATTTGTTGGCCATTTGTATTTCTTCTTTTGAGAAGTATCTGTTTAGATCATTTGTTCATTTATTAATTGGGTTATATGACCTTTTGGTGAAGTTTTTTTGAGTTCTTGGTATATTCTAGATAATTAATCCTCTGTCAGAAGAGTAGCCAAGGAAGATTTTCTCCCACTCTGTAGGTTCTCTCTTTGATTTCTAATTGTTTCCTTTGCTGTGCAGAAGCTTTTTAACTTGATGTCACTTCATTTACTAACTCCTGGCATTACCTCCTGAGCTGTAGGGATCCTATGGAGAGGATTGTTGCCTGTGCCTAAACGCTGAAATGTTGACCCTAAGATTTCTTCTAGGAGTTGCAGTTTCTGATCTAATTCCTAGGTCTGTGATCCATTATGAGTTGATTTTTGTGTAGGGTATAAGGGCTTAGTATCATTTTTCTACATATGGACAACCAGTTTCCCAACACCATTTGTTAAATTGTCTTTTCTCCAAGGCATGTTTTTGGCAATTTTGTCAAGGATCAAGATGACTGTAGATGTGTGGTTTGTCTCTGTGTCTTCTCTTCTGTACCATTGGTCTATGAGACTGTTTTTATGACAGTACCATGTAGTTTTTGTCACTATAGCTCTTTGGTATAATTTGAAGTCAGGTATTGTGATGCCTCCAGCATTGCTTTTTGTGGCTTAGAATTGCTTTGGCTCTTCTAGGTCATTTATTCTGCCAAATGAATTTTAGGACTGTTTTTTCAAGTTCTGTGAAGAATGTCATTGGTACTTCGTTGGGGATTACATTGAATCTGTATCGTGCTTTTGGTTGTGTGGCCATTTTAACAATATTATTTCTTCCTATCCAGGAACATGGAATGTTTCCATCTTCTAAGGTCTTCTTTAATTTCTTCCTTCAATGTTCTGTAGTCGTCATTACAGAGGTGTTTTGTCTCCTTGTTTGGATTTATTCCTAGTTTTTTTGTGTGATTTTTTGAGGCGTTTGGGAATAGAATTATTTTCTTCATTTCTTTCTCAGCAGATTCATTGTTTATATATAGGAAAGCTATTGATTTTTGTATGTTGATTTTGTAAGCGGCTCCTTTGTCAAATTTGTTAATTAGCTGCAGCAGTCTTTTGGTCGAGTTCTTTGAATCTTCTACGTGTAGGATCATATCATTTGCAAAAAGTGATAATTTGACTTCTTTCTTTCCTTTTTTTTTTTTAAATCCATTTTCTGTTTTTTTCTCTTGCCTAATTGCTCTGGCTAGAATTTCTAGCACTATATTAAACAGGAGTGGACATCCTGTTAATCCCAGATTTTAAAAGAAATACTTTCAGTTTTTCCCCATGTATTATGTTTTAGTCAGCTTTTTCCCTGCTGTGACTAAAAGACCTGACAAGAACATCTACAGAGTAGGAAAAGTTTATTTGGAGACTCACAGTTTCAGAGGTCTCCATCTATAGAAGGCCTGCTCAATTCCTCAGAGCTCAAGGAGCGGTAGAAAATCATGGTAGGATAGTGGTGGAGGGAAGCAGCTCACATGATGATCAGGAAGCAGAGAGAAAGGCTCCACTCAACAGGTATAAAATATATACCCCAAAGGCTCACCCCCAGGGACCCACCTCCTCCAGGCACAACCTACCCACTTTCAGTTACCACTCAGTTAATCTGCACCAAGGGATTAATTCAATGATTGGGTTAAGGCTCTCATAACCTAATCATTTCTCCTCTACACCTTCTTGCATTTTCTCACACAGGTGCTTTTAGGGGGATATCTTACATCCAAACCATAACATTCCACCCCTGACCCCAAAAGCCCATGACCATCTCACAATGCAAAATACATTTTGTCCATTTCCAAGAGTCCCCATAGTCTGAACAGTTCCAAGATTGCCTAAAAGTTCAAATCCACAGTCTCCTCTGAGACTCAGGACAAGCTTGCATCATGAACTCCTGTATAAATCAAAAGCTACTTACAAGTGTCCAATAGATACATGTACAGAATAAACATTTCCATGCAGAAAAATAGGGGCATAGAAAGAAGGGATGGGACCAAAGCAAGACTGAAATCCAGCTGGGAAAACAAGTCCTGTAGCTTTGTGTCCGGCATCTGGGGCACATGGCATGGAGATGTTCTGCTCAAAGGACTTGCTCCTCCCCTGCAGCCATGTTGGTCGCAGCCCAAGTGGCTTTTCTGTTGGCTTGTCTCTGGTCAATTTCTGCAGCTTTCCTAGGATGACATCCCATATTACTGGCATTTCCTAATCTTGGAGATCTCCACTGCAGCTTTGGCTTCCTCCCTACATCTCCATGCTTTGCCCTCTCAGGGGCCATCTGAAGGAATTCTGACACTGCTGTACTCTGTCTGGCCTCCCAGGCCTTCCTTTGAAATCCTGATGGACGCCTCTATAACCTCCTAACTCCAGCATCTTGCATTCCTGCAGAACCAAGACTATTGGTTGACACCAAGGTCTGCTGCCATCTTGAGCAGGAACCAAGCCTCCAAGGACACTGGCTGTAGCAGCCTCTGAGTGTCTGGGTAGCTGAGCATGTTGAAAAAACTTTCTTATGCAAGAAGGGTACACCACTGGTCTCTTCCCAAGAGATATTTTACTTTTACTTCCTTGAGTCTGAGATGGATATGATATTGCCAATTCCTGAAATGCCCTTAAGCCATCTTCCCTGTCGTCTCTGGGCAAAGTCTTTAGTGTTTCTTTAATGGCAGTAATGTCTTTAATAACTGTAACTTCCTAAGCACCAGTTTTGCTCCCTCCTTTCAAGTACAAGTTTTTCAAATATTTCTTCTCCTGAATATGTCAAAAAACTTGATTTAAAGCTGCCAGCAATATCCATGCCACTGCCTGAATGCTATGCTGCATAGATATTTCTTCTGCCAGATTAAGAAGTCCATCACTTTTAAAATCAGCCTCACCCAAAGTTTAAAAACATGGGCAAGATGCAGATAACTTCTCAGCCAGAACATAACAAGCCTTTAGTCCAATTGCTGATAGTGCCCTCCTTTTCCTTTAAAACCTCATGAGCCCTGTCTTCCTATCGGCATGCTGGTCTTCTGAGTTCCCACCACTATCAGCCGTTAAGCTGTGCTTAAAACAATCTAAAGCATTTCCATCTTGCACTGTTACACATCTCAACATTCCTCCAACCAATTCCCAAAAAGCTTCTGAACCATTCGGTCAGTTTAGTTAAAGCAATGACCCCACTCTTGGTACTTATTTCTGTTTTAGTCATCTTTTTTTTTTTTTTTTTATACTGCAACTAAAAGACCAAACCAGAACAACTTTAGAGTAGGAAAAGTTTATATAAGAGCCCATGTTTTCACAGGTCTCAGTCCAAAGACAGCCGACTCCATTCTTTTGGGTCCAAGGTGAGGCAGAACATCATGGCAGAAGAGTGTAGTGGAGGGAAGCAGTCATATGATTATCAGGAAGCAGAGAGAGTCTCCACTGGCTCCAAAGGCACCTGCCAATGACCCAGCTCCTCCAGCCACAACCTACCTGCCTGTAATTACCACTTGATTAATTCCCATAAGGGGATTGATTCAACTAATGGGTTAAAGCTCTCATAACCCAGTGATTTCTCCTCTAAACCTTCTTGAATTGTCTTCCACATGAGCTTTGGGGGACATATCACATCCAAACCATAACAGAAATGCTTTCAGTTTTTCCCCCATTTATTGGAGGTTTGCTTTGGGTTTTTCATATATGGCCTTTAATGATGTTGGGCTATGTTCCTTCTATCCCTAATT